GAAAGAACATGTTTTCTATTGATCTGGATTTAGTCCCTAATGTTACACCAGTTCCCTTTTGATGTGTGACAAGACTTCAAGGTACACAATAAAACCTAGGTTTGCGAACATGGTAAACATGTGATACCACAAAAAATGTGTTCATTACATATACGGTTGACATTAGGTAAGAAATAAATGATGAAGTGTTAAATTGCCATTACCAATATCAGTGTTACATATTTAATTATCACTATCGCCTTGCTGCTTCAAAGGGCATTAAGTACACGGTGTACAATGCTGTGTCAAACAAAGACCAAGTGATTCATGCACATGATTAATGCATCACACACATAGATAAAGAACGGCTATCTTTGAAAACATCCATACAAGCACCTATTTATACATGTATGACCGGGGTGGGGGAGAGCAACAAAGGAATGATATTCATTTTGAAAGGGTCATTTTATTTGTACATGTATTCCAGTAGATTACACATACAGGCTCAGTGTATGCCCACAAATACACCACTTGCAGATTAACAATGTAAGATGACCAACAAACACTAGTTCATGTCAGCACATCCATAACATAAGTCTGATTAGTTCTGATTGGAGGTTTGATAGTGTTTTCAAAAAGGCTTTGACACTACATACAGTTAGTAAGTTTACCTTGCCGCACACTACATACAGTCAGTAGGTTTACCTTGCCTGACACTACATACAGTCAGTAGGTTTACCTTGCCTGACACTACATAGTCAGTAGGTTTACCTTGCCTGACACTACATACAGTCAGTAGGTTTACCTTGCCTGACACTACATACAGTCAGTAGGTTTACCTTGCCTGACACTACATAGTCAGTAGGTTTACCTTGCCTGACACTTCATACAGTCAGTAGGTTTACCTTGCCTGACACTTCATACAGTCAGTAGGTTTACCTTGCCTGACACTACATACAGTCAGTAGGTTTACCTTGCCTGACACTTCATACAGTCAGTAGGTTTACCTTGCCTGACACTACATACAGTCAGTAGGTTTACCTTGCCTGACACTACATACAGTCAGTAGGTTTACCTTGCCTGACACTATATACAGTCAGTAGGTTTACCTTGCCTGACACTACATAAAGTCAGTAGGTTTACCTTGCCTCACACTACATACAGTCAGTAGGTTTACCTTGCCTGACACTACATACAGTCAGTAGATTTACCTTGCCTGACACTACATACAGTCAGTAGGTTTACCTTGCCTGACACTACATACAGTCAGTAGGTTTACCTTGCCTGACACTACATACAGTCAGTAGGTTTACCTTGCCTGACACTACATAGTCAGTAGGTTTACCTTGCCTCACACTACATACAGTCAGTAGGTTTACCTTGCCTGACACTACATACAGTCAGTAGGTTTACCTTGCCTCACACTACATACAGTCAGTAGGTTTACCTTGCCTGACACTACATAGTCAGTAGGTCTACCTTGCCTCACACTAGATACAGTCAGTAGGTTTACCTTGCCTGACACTACATACAGTCAGTAGGTTTACCTTGACCCACACAACATACAGTCATTAGGTTTACCTTGCCTGACACTATATACAGTTATAAGGTTTACCTTGCCTCACACTACATACAGTCAGTAGGTTTACCTTGCCTGACACTTCATACAGTCAGTAGGTTTACCTTGCCTGACACTTCATACAGTCAGTAGGTTTACCTTGCCTCACACTACATACAGTCAGTAGGTTTACCTTGCCTGACACTACATACAGTCAGTAGGTTTACCTTGCCTGACACTTCATAGTCAGTAGGTTTACCTTGCCTCACACTACATACAGTCAGTGGGTTTACCTTGCCTGACACTATATACAGTCAGTAGGTTTACCTTGCCTCACACTACATACAGTCAGTTTACCTTGCCTGACACTATATACAGTCAGTAGGTTTACCTTGCCTGACACTACATACAGTCAGTAGGTTTACCTTGCCTCACACTAGTTACAGTCAGTAGGTTTACCTTGCCTGACACTACATAGTCAGTAGGTTTACCTTGCCTGACACTACATACAGTCAGTTTACCTTGCCTGACACTATATACAGTCAGTAGGTTTACCTTGCCTGACACTACATACAGTCAGTCTACCTTGCCTGACACTACATACAGTCAGTAGGTTTACCTTGCCTGACACTACATAGTCAGTAGGTTTACCTTGCCTGACACTACATACAGTCAGTTTACCTTGCCTGACACTACATACAGTCAGTAGGTTTACCTTGCCTGACACTACATACAGTCAGTTTACCTTGCCTGACACTACATACAGTCAGTAGGTTTACCTTGCCTGACACTACATAGTCAGTAGGTTTACCTTGCCTCACACTAGATACAGTCAGTGGGTTTACCTTGCCTGACACTATATACAGTCAGTAGGTTTACCTTGCCTGACACTACATACAGTCAGTAGGTTTACCTTGCCTGTAACTTCATACAGTCAGTAGGTTTACCTTGCCTGACACTACATAGTCAGTAGGTCTACCTTGCCTCACACTAGATACAGTCAGTAGGTTTACCTTGCCTGACACTACATAGTCAGTAGGTGTACCTTGCCTCACACTACATACAGTCAATAGGTTTACCTTGCCTGACACTACATACAGTCAGTAGGTTTACCTTGCCTGTGCTACATACAGTCAGTAGGTTTACCTTGACCCACACTTCATACAGTCAGTAGGTTTACCTTGCCTGACACTACATACAGTCAGTAAGTTTACCTTGACCCACACTTCATACAGTCAGTAGGTTTACCTTGCCTGACACTTCATACAGTCAGTAGGTTTACCTTGCCTGACACTTCATACAGTCAGTAGGTTTACCTTGCCTGACACTACATAGTCAGTAGGTTAACCGTGCCTGACACTACATACAGTCAGTAGGTTTACCTTGCCTGACACTACATACAGTCAGTAGGTTTACCTTGCCTCACACTAGATACAGTCAGTAGGTTTACCTTGCCTGACACTACATAGTCAGTAGGTTTACCTTGCCTGAAACTACATACAGTCAGTAGGTTTACCTTGCCTGACACTACATACAGTCAGTAGGTTTACCTTGCCTGACACTTCATACAGTCAGTAGGTTTACCTTGCCTGACACTACATACAGTCAGTAGGTTTACCTTGCCTGACACTACATAGTCAGTAGGTTTACCTTGCCTGACACTACATACAGTCAGTTTACCTTGCCTGACACTATATACAGTCAGTAGGTTTACCTTGCCTGACACTACATACAGTCAGTCTACCTTGCCTGACACTACATACAGTCAGTAGGTTTACCTTGCCTGACACTACATAGTAAGTAGGTTTACCTTGCCTGACACTACATACAGTCAGTTTACCTTGCCTGACACTACATACAGTCAGTAGGTTTACCTTGCCTGACACTACATACAGTCAGTTTACCTTGCCTGACACTACATACAGTCAGTAGGTTTACCTTGCCTGACACTACATAGTCAGTAGGTTTACCTTGCCTCACACTAGATACAGTCAGTGGGTTTACCTTGCCTGACACTATATACAGTCAGTAGGTTTACCTTGCCTGACACTACATACAGTCAGTAGGTTTACCTTGCCTGACACTTCATACAGTCAGTAGGTTTACCTTGCCTGACACTACATAGTCAGTAGGTCTACCTTGCCTCACACTAGATACAGTCAGTAGGTTTACCTTGCCTGACACTACATAGTCAGTAGGTGTACCTTGCCTGACACTTCATACAGTCAGTAGGTTTACCTTGCCTGACACTACATACAGTCAGTAAGTTTACCTTGACCCACACTTCATACAGTCAGTAGGTTTACCTTGCCTGACACTTCATACAGTCAGTAGGTTTACCTTGCCTGACACTTCATACAGTCAGTAGGTTTACCTTGCCTGACACTACATAGTCAGTAGGTCTACCTTGCCTCACACTACATACAGTCAGTAGGTTTACCTTGCCTGACACTGTATACAGTCAGTAGGTTTACCTTGCCTGACACTACATACAGTCAGTAGGTTAACCGTGCCTGACACTACATACAGTCAGTAGGTTTACCTTGCCTGACATTACATACAGTCAGTAGGTTTACCTTGCCTCACACTAGATACAGTCAGTAGGTCTACCTTGCCTTACACTACATACAGTCAGTAGGTTTACCTTGCCTGAAACTACATACAGTCAGTAGGTTTACCTTGCCTGACACTACATACAGTCAGTAGGTTTACCTTGCCTCACACTTCATACAGTCAGTAGGTTTACCTTGCCTGACACTACATACAGTCAGTAGGTTTACCTTGCCTCACACTACATACAGTCAGTAGGTTTACCTTGCCTGACACTACATACAGGCAGTAGGTTTACCTTGCCTGACACTACATACAGTCAGTAGGTTTACCTTGCCTGACACTTCATACAGTCAGTAGGTTTACCTTGCCTGACACTTCATAGTCAGTAGGTTTACCTTGCCTGACACTACATACAGTCAGTAGGTTTACCTTGCCTGACACTACATACAGTCAGTAGGTTTACCTTGCCTGACACTACATAGTCAGTAGGTTTACCTTGCCTGACACTACACAGTCAGTAGGTTTACCTTGCCTGACACTACATACAGTCAGTAGGTTTACCTTGCCTGACACTACATACAGTCAGTAGGTTTACCTTGCCTGACACTACATACAGTCAGAAGGTTTAACTTGCCTGACACTACATACAGTCAGTAGGTTTACCTTGATTAGCTATAAGTACTGTCATGTTCAGCCTGGGGCCGCGGAGAACTAACGTGACAAAACGAACTTTAACATAAGTACAATCAGCATTCCAAACGATACACTGATGTTAATTTAACAACTTAAGATTGTATGTATGACTTGTCATCAATGCGATTTTCTTAATTCATCCGAGAAGCGAGGGTGTTATCGTGCTGTCAGTTTGATACACGAACACGTTACAAGTACGATCCAGTTTCCAACCTACCTTGCGATATTTCCAGCAATCTTAAAGTCCCACACTCACCCAAGAGTTCATCAGAATAATTTACATAACATTAAATCACGTCAAGCAAGCAGTAAGGACCTGACTTCATAAGAAGTGGCAGCAAGCTAATATTAAAGCAGGCCAATAATGTTATCACTTAATCCGGAAGCAGTGATTGACGACATGCGCAATCTCAGCTTCCGTAACAGTGCGACACAGATCATTCGGGGGATAATGTCTCCCCTTCCCCAAATCCTAACCCCCACCTCTCGTGACTACTGCTTGACTATTTTACCTTTACATAAATGAAGCGTCCAAATTTTACTGAAAAATGTAAGATGTTTAGTAGGCTGCATAGCTTTTTTATGAATTACATTTTATTTACTTCTGTTATATCTGTTGAAAATAGCCATACTTTAAACTAATCACACCAAATCAACTACGCATTTCTTTACCAGCAGCAATTTCAAAATAATCAATGAAGACTGGCAATGTGTTGCATGTGGTCCCAGTCATGCACTAAATCTTGTATGATATGGTCCATGTTTCATAATTAGCTTTTATCAAAATAAAGGCAAAAAGGGTGAGATCTATCTATAATTATTGTTTGTCAAATACGATAACAGACTAGTTCGAATAGAAACATACTTAGATTATTATTAGTTGTTGTTTCGGTGATTGGAAACATGTTTAAGTAAACGGTTTAATTTGTCACTATTCTTCCCCGAAAGATATACAATGGAATTGTCTTCGATCATATCACAATAGGGCAACATTAGGGGCATATTTTCCCAGCTACAAGAAGAAACGTATAGCCCAGTCATTAACAGCAATCAGCACAGATGAAATGCAACTACCCCAACTGGCCGACCACCACAGGCAGCAGGACATGCTATTCGTCTTGGGATTTTTAACATGAGGGAATTGTTATTGGGTACTGTCAAAGTGATCTAAACAACTGAATGAAAGTTGTAAATTATAAGATATATCCTGTAAGTGTTTAGAAGGAGAGACATTATAAGACGTAAAATGTACAGTTAAGATAAAAAAAATTACGGACGAAAACCGTTCAAGGGCGGATCCAGCATTCTCAAAAGGGTGGGTTCCAATTAAATATCAAAATCCTCTCTACGTCAGTGGTACTGCCTACCACATACATACATTTGATTTTAAAAAGGAGGGGTCCGGACCCCTTATGACGTCTTCGTCCTTAGTTTACCTCTCCTTGAGAAAACAACTTGTAATCCCCACAGTGTGGTTGCAGTCTCAGCTATACTTACATCACAGGCCATGTGAGACAGCAGAGCGCAACAGCCTGTACACCGTGACGCAGTCGGTGTCATCCGGGACGTGCTGCAGTGTGTGACACCTTGTAACCGTGACGCAGTCGGTGTCATCCGGGACGTGCTGCAGTGCGTGACACCTTGTAACCGTGACGCAGTCGGTGTATCCAGCACGTGCCGCTGTGCGTGACACCTTGTAGACCGTGACGCAGTCGGTGTCATCCGGGACGTGCTGCAGTGCGTGACACCTTGTAACCGTGACGCAGTCGGTGTATCCAGCACGTGCCGCTGTGCGTGACACCTTGTAGACCGTGACGCAGTCGGTGTCATCCAGCACGTGACGCAGTGCGTGACACCTTGTAACCGTGACGCAGTCGGTGTCATCCAGCACGTGCCACAGTGTGTGACAGCCTGTAGACCGTGACGCAGTCGGTGTCATTCAGCACATGCAGTGCGTGACAGCTTATAGACCGTGACGCAGTCGGTGTCATCCAGCACGTGCCGCAGTGCGTGACACCTTGTAACCGTGACGCAGTCGGTGTCATCCAGCACGTGACGCAGTGCGTGACAGCTTGTAGACCGTGACGCAGTTGGTGTCATCCAGCACGTGCCGCAGTGCGTGACACCTTGTAACCGTGACGCAGTCGGTGTATCCAGCACGTGCCACAGTGTGTGACAGCCTGTAGACCGTGACGCAGTCGGTGTCATCCAGCACGTGCCGCAGTGCGTGACACCTTGTAGACCGTGACGCAGTCGGTGTATCCAGCACGTGACGCAGTGCGTGACACCTTGTAGACCGTGACGCAGTCGGTGTCATCCAGCACATGCAGTGCGCGACAGCCTATAGACCGTGACGCAGTCGGTGTCATCCAGCACGTGCCACAGTGCGCGACAGCCTATAGACCGTGACGCAGTCGGTGTCATTCAGCACTTGTCGCAGTGCGCGACAGCCTGTAGACCGTGACGCTGTCGGTGTCATCCAGCACGTGCCACAGTGTGTGACAGCTTGTAGACCGTGACGCAGTCGGTGTCATCCAGCACGCACCGCAGTGTGTGACAGCCTGTAGACCGTGACGCAGTCGGTGTCATCCAGCACGTGCCACAGTGTGTGACAGCCTGTAGACCGTGACGCAGTAGGTGTCATCCAGCACGCGCCGCAGTGTGTGACAGCCTGTAGACCGTGACGCAGTAGGTGTCATCCAGCACGCGCCGCAGTGTGTGACAGCCTGTAGACCGTGACATAATTGACAGGCAAGGTATTCTCTTGCATGTCACCAGCCACGGCCATTTCAGAATGTGAGAGAACCCTGTTAAATACTCTGTTATTCCTCTGAACCCCAAGACTTTAACATCTAACGTCTAACGTTAATCCTGAATGTATCTGTAAACATTACAATACACTCATTCAGCATGACGTTTTCCAACGAATCACGTATGCTCGTGTGGGCTACAACCTCATTTAATCACACTGTCTGTATAAACAATAAGTTATGTAAGTGTGGTCAGTGTGTCTACTACTCCGATCATGTGAAGGTCTATGACCCAAAAGCCCCTCCCTCCCAACGCTGTCTGTGGATCAATATTTGGCGAGACAGCAATAGCAAGTGCAAGCGTTAGCGGTTTCCAAATCCCCTACAGAGCTCCAACCTAGGGTCGCAGCCACATAATTAACTTTTTGCCTGTCAGGAATGGTTTTTATTTGATATTCACTGCGGTTCCTCGCCCCAGACATCATTCTTTGCCTTCGATTTTTTTCATAGATTTTGTGTCTGATATTTTTGAGATTTTGGCAGTTGTAGAAGGGCTGCATTTGGCATAGAGCGCATAAAATAGTTGGTGTCATGTCATGTCACTGTGTATCCTCCAGACATTCCATCATGTGCTGTGGTGAAGTAGACCTATCTCTGAGCCTGGCACTCTGGCACCAGTTAGAAGCACTCTTCGGCTTAACAATTTGAGAGTAAAGGTTTAGATGTAATTCCGTTTACATTTCCCTACGTTGGGATATCCTGGCGTCCAGACAGGGTTAGGGTTAGGGTGAGGGTTGCAGTCATTTTGGATCACTTACAATGTAATTTTTAGTTGCCGTGTGTGGGGACCTTCTACAACCTGTATTGATTTATTTTGCTCTAAAAAATATCAATAAATACATCCCCTTTGTCTTCCTGGCATGGAAAACGGCACTTTTATCTCTCAGTGGAGGGGCGTGAGTTACACCCTTATGGGACCAGTAACACATGAATGTAACGGTAAGGTCCACTGTTGCTTGAAAGCTTTGTGGATATATCATTTTTACCTTACGGCCATAAGCGACTAGCCGTGTGAAGGCTTTGAGCTATTGGCTCAGTTGACACGTGTACGCGACAAAGACACACTCCTTACATCATTTATACTCACACCATGTCCTCTTTACTTTTTCTGGGGTCTAGGAAAATCAGATAAACCTGTAAACGGATTTACAATGCAGTAGTGAATGGATGATTGTTGTTAACATGGGCTCTGCACAAGGCTTCCTTTATGCCAAGGTCGCCTCAACCTTAGACAAGATCACGTGATGTGACACAGGTGCTGGGGCATTCATGTGTTATTATATTCGATATGTTTATGATGGAACGTCTCCAGTCCCTGTCTATGTCAAAGCGCACCGACACACAATAGTTGTCTACCTCGTGGCAACGTCGGCACACTGGCTAATGATTTCATCAACATACATTTATACACATCTACAACCTGTTTTTGTTGTTGTTATTATTATTATTATTATTATTATTATTATTATTATTATAAATGTGTTTGCAGGGCCCTATCTATATGTTGTAGTAACGGGCGTCACTGACTATAATATCACCTGTGAAAATGCAAATAGTCGGGCAAAGTATGTTTTCATTTGTATGCTATATGGGTTTCGTCCCAAAATATTTTAAACCATTTTCATTATTCTGAAAGTAACGTTTGAAAGCCTTGATCAATATTCAAGTCTGAAAACTATACAACCTCTCCTTCCTGAGTGATGCCCCAGAAGTACTGCCCTAAATAAAGAACACCGTATGTTGATCTGGGTTCAAGCCTTACTGGCGTCAATGTCCATTGTATGTGTAAAATTGAAAAAACAAAATACAGTAAGGTTTAAGTTCTCTCATGCCTATTCCTTATTAGATTATCTCTAGACTTTAATAGCACAGTTACCAAGCTGCATCTGAGAGCCCCCTCTCTCCCCGCTGGCCCTACACACGGGACAAACATGGCTTCACGACGTTGACGACAACAAAATGTTAAGCCCGCTCCACTGGTTTCTCACAAATGTTCTATAATTGTCATGTATAGGAGGACATGCGGTATTCTCTATACAGTATTCTCAGGCTGTGTGTACCCCAAAAGAACCTGTTTAGCAGGATTGGCTGGTAAGTAACAGGTCTCCCACTTCCGACAATGACCAGAACTTGTGATGCCCCAGCTCAAACACACCACATGCATGCTTGAGTTGCCCCAGCCAGACGGCAAAGTGGCGCTACTTGTATATAACGCTGTGGACAATTTGAAGAGTGTGCATCATGTAAGAAGTAATTATGCAAGAAATTAATGCACGGCTTGGATATTTTCTAATGTAAAACTGATGAAGAATGTATTCGATGAAGTTATATGTATTTCGCGGGACTGGATTTCTGGTGTTGCTTGCTGAACATGAAGTGGGTGTTTAACGATAGCCCTGACTTCTGGTACCCCCGCCACAGCGGTGGCCGCTGCAGTAGGCGACCACATGGAATTGGCCATACACTGTCACCGTGGACATACGCTTAATGGGCGGAAATAGGCAGTTTTATCAGCGTCGCTCCACATCTACAGTGGTATTTATAAAACTTGTGCACAAGGCCGGGTGGGAGGCTGCCCACG